AAAATTAAAACGCCATGTCTCTCTTGTGGAGGTGCACATTAAGGTGTGTGTCCAGGATACCTCAGTCCTTACACTGGGCTGTGACTCACTTTCCTGTTCAATGTTCCATCTCCTAGATGAAGCTGGCAGAGTCCCTCTCTGAGTGCCACTCCCTAACTCCCTTCTACCTGGCAGGTGATCCTGGCCCGCTCTCCTTCATTTCATCTGAGGCCCTAACAAGACTGGTCTTAGATTCCAAATCCAGGTTTTGGAGGCAAAGGCAAAAGTTTTCGTGTATGTGCCAAGAACCAGCTACTTGGAACCACACTTCTCATCTATGTCAAAGATATCAAACAGCGTCAGTGGTAAGAGGATCTCTTGGGAAGAATTTTCAGAGTGTGATGAGTGTCTGCTCCTCATCTTAAGCCTAGGGTGCTTGACATGGGTTCTCTGTAACTGATGGCTCTGTGGACCAATGTTTGTCCTCTGCCTGAGAAATCTCATGAGTGAAAGGCTGTCTGGGTTAGATGCTAAAGATCCTTACTGAACTCAGATCAACATATACTTTTAGAGCTGATTAAGGCAAAGGATGAGAGTTTCGTATGGACCGGATGTGGGATAAGCACGAGAAAAAGCTGGCATGGAGATGCCACAGGTCCTGTCTAAGAGAGCATCCTACAGGGGCGAGAAGCCTCAGCACAGAGGATCTACAGGTATCAGAACACAATCCTAGGGGCTGCTGAAGGACTCAGCAAACCATCTACATGGAGATGCACAGAACTGCATCAGGATACCTGCAGGTGAGAGGTTCTTGTTGATGGGAGGATGGTCCCTGAAAAATCTACAAAACTACCCCTGAGGTTTTAATGCCGCTGCTCAACATCTACCATGCTCCGAGCCTGACACCGCCTACCACAGCACCACGGTGCTTGGCAAGAAAGGATGTCCCAGCTTCCCCAACCTCTTCTCTACCCCCTACCAGATCCACCTCCTCAAAACGGAGGAGAAATAAACTGGAATTAGCTAAAAGGAAGACAGGGAGTGAAAAAAAGAATCTTCTCTTCCCCACATTCCGGCTGTTTGTGCACAACAGACCTCAGCTGTGGGAAAGGAGGAAAGTCTTTCCTTTGAATGAAAGGTGATATGTCAACCATCACGCAGATCGAGAGTTTTAATTGAGGCTGTATTTGCCACCTGAAGTGCCTTGGGTATAAATGAGAGAAATCATGGGACAGACCAAGTTCTCATCGAGGGACAGGGGAAAACAGAGCCCAGAGCCACTTTAAGGAAGCAGGGGGAGATCGGAGCTGCTTTCTGATCGGGTCTACTGAGTGGAGCTTGTTTGAAGCAAGGTGGCACGTGGGGCCCTGAGGCCTGGACTCACCGCACGCAGTGACAGGGCGCAGACTGTCAGTGGACCAGCCAGATTGCTCCTCCTTTTTTCCCACAGTAATGAGTCACCATAGGGCACAAGGCCCCCTAGGAAGGAGCTTCATTTCCCAGCCCTTCCCATAGATAGGTGAGGTCACATGACCGAGTCTTGCCAGTGGAAAGTGAGTGCAAGGGACGTGTCCAGGCCCCTGAAAACAACAGATATGCAGGCGCTCAGCGCTCTTCCATTACCCCTCTTGCTGAACCCAAACGTGGCAGTGGCTTTGACCTTGCAGATGGTAACGAGGTCCTAGAGATGGAGGAGCCTCAAACCTGGATGCTTGAATGACCAGGTGGAGCAGAGCCATCCCCACACCAGCTGAGCACACTCATCGGGAACTTTCCCGTGAACAAGAAGTCAAGTTCTTCTCCTGCGACAGCGTCTGAGCCCTTTGCTGTGAGTGCTGGGTCATCTCACTCCCTGTGTATTACTCTGCTCACATCCAGACCTGGCGCCCCAACCTGCTGGCCTTTCCACCCAAAGAACAGCCCTGCAGCCAGCTCAGTTATGAAAGCTCTGGGGGGAAAACATGTTTTGCAGTCAGACATGGAGTCTAGCCCAGAAATGCTGCTCCAGCTGTGTAACCTTGGGCAAGTGGCTTTCCCTCTCTGAGCCTCGATTTCCCTCACGTGTAAAAAGGGATTCATAATCCTTCCACATAACTTTGCCCAGGAGGATCCATCATGGTGCTTGGTGCACAGTAGGTCTTCAACACAGATCGGCTCCCTTTCCCCTCTTCCTTTCCCGTCCCCCTTACCCAGCAGCCTTTGTCTCTGAGCCCCAGCTGGCCTCTCGTCTGCCCCCACCAAGCCGTGACGCAGGCTGAAGTTTTTCTTTTGAGTAAGTGACAGGTTCGGGGAGGCGGAACAGAACAAGTACTTAGAATTCGCAGTGCAGAATTCTCTGATATCAGATTGCCAGCGTTCCCTTTGCGGGGTCGGGAATTAAGCTGGCTGTCCTGGGCTTGTCTCTGAATGGCCTCCCGTGAGGAAAATTTTCTTTCCTACAATTTTATTCCACCCTCTGACCCAGGGCTGAGAAGCAATTTGTTGGGGAAGTCTCCCTCCTCTGCTGAAGCCCTTTGCGGGTCAGCCCCACTCCAGGGCGAGTCTGCGGGATGCAGGGAGTGGGGCCGGAGCAGGCATGTTTTGTTTAGTAACGATCGGAATGTTGTGGGTTATGTAATAGGAATATTAATTCTTTTGCAGGGAACACAGGGCTGCAAGGGGCTGTTCGTTTGTTGTCTGGTCCAGCTGCCCTCCTCCCCACCTCCCATGTAGAGCCAAACAAACTGAAACCTGGGAAAGGACGTGATGTATTGCCGTCCCACGTGGAGGAGGGACTGGCAGGGGTGGGCCCAGCAGGACGCGTGAGGAAGGCTTGCCGCAGTGTAGCTGGCTGCCTTGCTGTCTAGCCCTTCTGGTGGTACAGAGGGCATCTTCACCTCCAGGCCTCACGCTGACAAAAACCAGGTTTGGGAAAGCTTTCAGAGTGGCTTGCCTCCCACACTGACCTTTCTTTGGCTGGTGTGGTCAAAGGAGGGGAGGGAGCTGGGCTCCCAGGTGGGCAGAGTTTGGGAGCCCTCCCAGCTCCCTCACACAAAGGCTCACCTGGTTTTGCCTCCACCATAGCCGGGCTCACTTTGCCTTGTGAATGCGCGAGCAGGGGCTTCTCCCTCTGGATCTGAGCTCCTGGCATGCAGGGGCCTTGCCCCCCTCCCCTCTAAACCTCTATCTCCAGGCTTTGCACCTACACGCTCAGTGGCCTCTGCTGACTGATCAAAAGCACAGAGCCATCTCCATCAGCCAAATCCTTCCCCCCCCCCACGAGGAACTCAGATGGCCTCTGGCTTGGAATCCTCAGCCTGTCACTTCACCAGCTGTGCCATCTTGGACGTGATATTGAAAGCGGGTGAGCATGAAGAGCGTGTTTCTCAGGGAGCTGAAGATATAGGGATGGCACGCGACAGGATGTGCAAAACACACGGCAGGAGCAGGCTGATTTCCCTCTCTGCCCTTCGCCCAGGGAGAGCCTCGGTCCGAGGCGGCACGCTCGGGTTGCAGAGGGACGAGACCCTCTCCCGCAGCCTCCACCTGCCATCCCCATCCACATCCCTTCTCACTGCCCACGAGGGCACGCTCTGCTTGCCCAGAGTTTATTAAGGACCATCGGAAAGTCTGCACATCGCATCAGCCATGTACAGACATGGGCCGTGTCCTGACCTCGAGAGCCGACAGTCCAAGCGAGGAGTCTGCACACTGCCAACATTTGGGGCAGAGTGACTATCGTGGGGCTGTCCTGGCCACCGGAGGGTGTTTGGCGATATTCCTGGCCTCCGCCCACGGATGATAGTCGCAAGACACCATCCAACCCCTCCCGTTTTGACAATCGAAATTATGTTTCCAGACATTGTCAAATGTCCCCTGGAGTCAAAATTGATGTTCTACAGGAGCCACACAGAACTCGGACATGTGGTATCCCCAAAGGGCTAACAGTCTACGGGCTGCCTTCCCTGTCTGACCTGGTCCAAAGGGACACAGACACTCAGCACACACACCCAGAGGGCCCAGAAGGGCCCAGGCGGAGAGAGGGCACAATCTATCTTAGGGTTTTATCCCCTGCCCCACCCTCCTCCTTTACTTAACCTTGAAGGGCCGACACGCAGGGCAAGGGCACCAGGAAGGCGCTGTGTGGGGAGGGAAAGGCCAGCTTTGGTGGGGGGCAGAGGCACCCCCCCTCCTGGAAATGCAAAAAATACATGTGGTCAAGACACGGCTTAGAAACAAACCCACTTTAATTGAGAGTGTACACAGAGCTCTGGGGGAGTGGGGGTGTGACTAGGTGAGATCAGGTCACACACCTGTCCTGGACAAGGTACCTGGTCTGCTTGGAGGGTTCAGGCAGGGGCTGGGTGGGAGCATAGAAGCAGGGTCAGAGCCGCTGCTGTGAGCAGCAGGGGCCAGGGCGAAGGTATCGGGAGTGCAGAGCTGAGGCCAGGGCGTGTGTGTGTGTGTGTGTGTGTGTGTTCACATGTATATACGTTATATACATGGGCACAATGTACACAGAATCTACAAGAGCCCTCAGAGACCGGTCTAGGGACAGGATCGGGGAGAAGACACCTCCAACCCCTGAAGGGGCCAAGGCAGCATGGGGAGAGGGGCCATGTCAGGGTGTGTGCTGAATACACAGACCTAGCTCTGCTTCTGCCACTCATAGCCTTGCTGTGTGACCCGGGGCAAGTTACTGACCCTCTCTGGCCTTGGAAAGATTCACTAGATGATCACTAAAATTCCTTGTGGCCCTAAACGTGAATATTTTTCAGGAGATTAAAATACGAAATGTATTTGTTAAGAGCTGATGACAAGAGCCTTTGGTCTACAGGTTCAAATCCCACCAGGCCTGGTACCCAGCACAGCCCGGTCCCAGGCACAGGGAAAAGATCCTCTGGGGGCCTTGCCAGCTACTCTCGGGCTCAGCTCTGGCTCCCAGCTGCTGCTCCATGCCTCTCGCCAGCTTCGTGTGCAGAAGGCAGTGGGACAGCAGGGGTGGGCAGAGGCCCAGAGGGTGGAGGGAAAGAAAAAAAGAGGCCAGGGCTGGAGAAGGCCCCGGCCTTAGGGGCACAGAGCCCATCGTTCCTCCTCTTTGTTTCCTAGCACACAGTGGACCCAGCACCCAGCAGGTGCTCAATAAATGCTTGAGGAACGAGCACAGTCATGGGCAGCCTGGTTCTAGGAAGAGTTCTGTCCTGAACTAGCTGGAGGGGGAGAAGCGGGCAGGGCTGGGGCATGTCACTTCCCCCTCTGAGTCCCGGCCGCCTCCTCTGTGACACAGGGGCAGGAGAAGCAACAGCCCCAGTGGCCTGGCCCACCTGTGTGAGTGTAAACTGTAAAGCTCATACGGAGGGCAGTGTCCAGCTGCAGACAGGCCACGGGACCCCCATCTGAGAGCAGGGGAGGAGAGTGTCCCCAGCGGAAGCCGTGGATCTGAACTGAGTGGGAGCCTGGCCAACGAGGGGTCACTAGGCTTTTACAGTACAAGGATTTCCATTTCTACCACTACACACGACACGAAGACAGCTGTAACAACAAAGCACAACCAGCAGATGGGAGGAACCTGGGAGGGGAGGCTGAGGGAGGAGGAGGGCGGTCCAGGAGATGGACATGGTCCAGGGGATGGACGTGGTCCAGGAGACGTGGCCACGTCCCCTTCAAACACATGGATGCTCCTGGCTCGATTTCAGGGACAGCCAGGGGTCACCTTGATAGGCCAGGGTAGAAATAGCTGAGCAGAGGCCAAAAGTTTGAGGATTGGGGGGAGGGGTCTCCCAGCTGCCACCTAAACCAAGCTGGGTGTCACGCCAGGACAGTGGAGCCCTTTCCCATCAGCTCTGGGTGCTGTTTTCATCCTGTTACTGTTCCAGGAGGTTCGGTCGGGTGCAGGGGTCCTGGTCCCTCTGGCACCAGCGTTTCTTATACCCTAGGGACAGGAAGACTCCGACGTGGGTCCCTGCAGAAGTCCAAGTGTCTCCCAACTTTGTCTCCTGCCCTTTGGAGATCCAGCCCCGAACGGAGATGCTGGGCCCACGGGGGAAAGAGGAATCAGCGGGATGTGGCAAGAAGGCAGAAGGTACGGAGGTTAGCGGCCGGGGCGCTCCAGTCTGGCACCAAAGGTCTTCGAACGCGATGCCACTGGGGTCTCGTCGGGGGGATGCGGGCATCTGGCGCCATCTCCCGTAAGGCACTGCCCAAGCCCCACCCCAGCGTCCCTCCCGCTCACTGGATGGTGCATTTGTCCCGCTCTCGGGCCTGGCCCTCCCGCAGGACCTTGGCCTTGATGTACTTGAGGTCACTGTTGACGCTGGGGCGGCGGGCGAAGGGCGAGACCATGCCGTAGGCGTCTGTCTCCTTGACGCGGCGCATGCAGAAGGGCCGGGGGTGGAAGGTGTCGCCATACTGCACCGAGATCTTGCGGTGCAGGGCCGGGCTCATCTCGTGCGGCAGCTTGGCCATGCTGAAGAGCACGTAGAACATCTCGTCCACGTTGGTGTTTTTCTTAGCCGACACCTCGAAGTAGGCGCAGTTCTCGTCCCCCGACACCAGCAGCTCGGCCTCGGTGGCGGCCACCTGGCGGCACAGCTCGCTGTGGTCGTTCTTGTTGCCGCAGATGACCATGGGCAGCTCCCCCACCTCCTTGGTCTTGTTCTTCAGGCAGGACTTGACCTCTAGGATCTGCTTCTGGAGGCGCTTGACCTCGTCGAAGGACTCCCGGTTATCCAGGCTGAACACCAGGATGAAGACGTCGCCTGTGGGGAGAGAAATCCCGGGCGGTGAGTTCACAGGCGGCTCCGGACCAGCCCCTCCCCGCAGGTCACGCAGCCCTAACGTGGCACAGCCTGGTTCAGACACGGTTCATTCACCCTGCATTTCCCTGCAGGACTGGAGACGGGGTGAGTGGCTTGTGAGCTTGTGGGGACAGCGTCAGGGTAATAATAATAATATGCGCCTGAGGCACAGGAGGAGCTCGGAGGACTGGCATGGGGCAGGCCTGGGTGAGCGTCTTGCCTTTTCCACTCACTGGCCACTTGGTCTCGACCTTAGTTCCCCCAGCTGTCCCATGCGGATGAAACACTGCCTCACGGGGTGATCTTGAGGGTCGCGGGAGGTACGACTGCGGTGGCACATTCTCATTCGCCTCGGGATCAATAATGGTCATGAGAGCAAGCACCTGTGGGAGCCAGCATGGGATACACGCTTCGTGTGCATTTTTAACCTGACTCCTCAAAACACCTCCGTGAGATTTCATCACCTTCGTGCTCTAGGTGAACAAACAGGCTCGGAAAGGGTGAGCGACCTGCCCCCAGATCATACAGCTTCAGCGCGGCCAGGCTGAGATTTGCGCCCAAGTCTGTCCTCCCCCGGCCCGAGCCTCGCACACACAGGTGCCCTCTGCTTCTTGAATAAATCACGGACGAAGCCGTGAATGCTGGCCTCCAAGGCCCACACTATCCCTAGTTTAGCTCACTGCATCGCTCGAGACACCTCTGGATCTGAAACAGGAACCGCGTGGAGGTGGTGGGGGGTGACAGGGAGGGAGAGAGAGGGCTAGTGCCTTCGTCCCGAGCTCCACATCTCTCTACAGCGATCACGGTCTCACGCGCAAAGCACCGTCCTCACTTAGGCCTCAACTCTTTAGAACCTGTGGTGAGACGTAAAGATCCCTGTTTCACAAACGAGGAAACGGAGGGTCAGGGGCACTGGTGACTGGCCCAAGTCCCCGAGAGGAAAATCAAGCCATTCCAGCTCTGGTGGCACTGCTGCCCATTCCTCTGGACCCCAGAGCACGCCATTTGTCCCCCAATACTAGCACGTGCCACACTCAGAACCGTGTTCCGGCCAACAGTGCGCTCTGGAGCAGAGGGGGCCTTGATCACCCGCTCCTTGTCTCCTTGTGCCCAGTGCACGGTGTGGGGTCCTAAAGCCGCATGAATGGACAGGATGGGAAGGAATGAACGTGGGATGGGCTGCTTAGAAAAGCACCTGCAAGGCATGCCAGCCTGGCAACCGCTTCCGCCTGGGCTGCCAAACCCGCTTTGTTAGGCTAATCCTGGGCCCCCGAGGATTCTGCCGCCTGGACATATTCAGATGCAAGGCTATGGCGCCAAGCTTCAGAGATGGCCGGCTGGCAGCTGGAAGGAGGGCCGGCGGTGGGATGAATGGTTTTCAGAGGGTCCTGGTCACCAGCACCGGGTTGGAAAATGAGGCCCAGGTAGGTGAGCGAAAAAGCAAGCCGCAGACAGATGTGCTCGGAATGATATAGGCATGTAAACAAAAAAACAGACAAAATGCTCTCTGTTATGGGGATGTGGGTATGAATGTCAATGTGTTCATGGGGGTTCTGGAAGAGTCCACACCGGACTGATGGGGTGGCCACCTCCAGGGAGGAGGCAAGAGCCTGGGGTGGGGTCAGGGGTCAAGGGGGCTTTTTAGCCTTGTCCATGTGTTTAAAAGAGGGTGTGTGTTTGTGCTATTATTCGAATAATTAAAATTAACTTTGGAAATATGCACCTGGTCTTTCTCTCTGCAACTCCCCTCTTCCTCCTTCTGACGCATTTAGCCTCATTTACATCGGCGGGCGCCCAGACCCCTCCCCGAGGCAGGGAGAGCTAACATTCCTGCAATCCGCACAGTGCGCTAGAAGCACCCGCCGCCCCCCCCCACAACACGCACGCACGTGTGTTCCTCCAGTCCTTGAGGCCTCACTGGCGGGAAGCAAGGGCGTGCCTGCTGGGCGGCTGGGGAGCCTGAGATGCAGACCTCTGCTTGCATGTTTAAGCCACCCTAGAGGTGGGGCCAGGACTCGGACCCGGGTCAACCCAGGGCTCCTTCTATCCACACATTCCCAAATATGGGAAGATGGGTCTGAGCATGATCTAGGTCAGACGGTCAGCAGGACAGCCCGGAAGAGGAAGCTGTCTGCCCAGGGACTCGAGGAGGGGTCTCGGCCGGGGCTTGGGGGAAAGGTGGGCATGGCCTGGTTTCTCACTGCAGAAGTATATGAGTTGGGGGTTATTTGGGTGGTGGCTGGAGGGTTACTTGTTCAACTCCTCCCCTCATCACTGCCCAGCGGCGGGTGGGGCATGGCTTGGGAAATGACTGCAGAGCCCTGGCAGGGACCTTGTCAACGCTGCTTTAAGACTGATGTTTACTGAGCACTTAATGTCTGCTCACCCAGCACTTTTCGTGTTAACTCATGTATTCTCACGATGACCTCCGGGATGGGGGCCGTGTGATGCCAACATACAGATGAGAAAGCTGAGGCACAAAGGGATAAAGTCCAAGTCCAGAGGGACAAAACCAGGACGCAGGGGAATGGGACTCGGACCCAGGCAGACCGGTTTCTGGGCCCGCCCTCCCGGCTACCACATGAAACTGCCTGAGTCACATAAATGATGGTCGAGTCCCACATCTCCCCCGTCCCCTTTATCCCCAGCAGTCTCCCTGCCCCTCCTCACACTCCCAGCAGGGCCGAGGGGCTACAGGAGAGCTTAGTGGTAAAGCGAGAGACAGACTGCCATTTACCAGCTGTGTCACCACCTGGAGTAACTTAACCCCTGTGGGCCTCAGTTTCCCCACTCGTAAAACGGAAGCAAATGCCATCCTCCTGGGCGAGTTGTGAGGTTTAATAAATACGTGCCAAGCTCTAAGAGTGGGCCCCAGCACGTAGCTCTTGAGAAGTGTGAGCTATCGCCATCACCAATACTGTGATTATCATCGACCCCTAGCATGAGCAGGCCGCCTGCCTGCCCTCTGGCTTGCCACTGCCCAGGACCAACCCTTACCACTCTGAGAGGCAGCAAGGGCTTGGGGTGTCAACAGCCCTGAGCCCAGCAGACTGACCATGGGCCCTGGAGCTCTGTGGGGTCACCGCCTGCTGGAAGAAGGCAGCAGCCTCTCTGCTCCCTGGGGAGGAAAATCCCCAGCGCCCGTCTGCATCGGCTCCTGATCTGCCAGGTGGCACCGGCAGTCGTGAGTGATCCATCCAGAGTCGGACAGAATGGAATGTGGGCCCCGGCTCCGTCATCTGCTCAGGCAAGCAGCAGCACCTCTGACCCTCACGGTGCCAGGGGGCTTGTTGCGAGCTTCCTCTCAGACGATGGATGTGCAAGTGCTTTGCAAACTGTAAAGTGCCAAGCACGCACGCCCACATATGCGGCGCCCAGGCCCGCCCCCGGCACCCACCTGTGAGGATGGAGAGCCTGCGCATGGCGGGGAAGGGGTGGTTGCCAGACGTGTCCAGGATGTCCAGCTGGTACATGTCGCCACGGATGTTGTAGACCTTCCGGTGGAAGTCCTCGATGGTGGGCGTGTACTGATCCTCGAAGCGGCCATTGAGGAAGCGAGAGACGATGGAGCTCTTGCCTACCCTCGAGGCGCCAAGCACCACCATGCGGTACGAGTTCTTGGCGGGCACGCTGAACGTGCAGTTCCCGCTGGAGAAGGTCTTCATCATGGCTCGGGGCTGTGGCAGAGAGCAGGGAGCAGGTGTCAGGAGGCCTCGGCCTTGGCCCTGCAGCCTGGCTCCTGACTAAGTCTCGGTTTTGTGTAAAATGGGAACATTGGACTAGGGTCTCTCCAAGGGGCCTTGGAGTCCTAGCTGTTCATTCACTCATGTTCTCTCTCGTTTCTTTCCTCCCTCACTCACCCACTCACCCATTCATTCACCCTCGCGTTCATTTACCCCCTTATTTATGCCAGCACAGGACTGCTGGGGCTCGAATTCTCACTTTACCACCAACTCGGGACTGCTCCTGAGCAAGCAGCCTGACTTCTCGGGGGTCGCTTTCTCATCTATACAATGGGCTGGACTCCCTGGGCTGTTGTAAAGGGCTCCGCACACGGCGAGATCTCAAAAGCATTAACTCTGGTTGGACTCGTTCTTTCCCTGGTCCACCTGTCCTTTCCAGCTCTGGCTTCCCAGGAGCCTATGACTCCGGGACACGACATGAGGAAGGCTCTAGAGAGCATTTCTCAAGCACAGGGTGCCATGGCCTTTCAGTCCTCTCAGGAAGAAGGGAGAGGCCACGTCTAGACCACATCCTCCACGCCAGGGCCTGGGGCTGCCCAGCGATTTTTACCTCCCAGGCCCTGGGTTCTCCCACCTCCAGGAGACCCAGAGACCGGGGCTAGTGGATGTGGGTCAGAGAAATGACCTGTGAACAAAAGTCCCTCATAACGCCAAGGGTTTATGGACCTGGGGGCATACCCAGAACTTTCTACGGGAGCCTCGTGGAAGGGGCTGAAATGGATCCAAGCTCCAAATCTCAAGTGGACATAAGTAAACCTCCAGGGGCTCCATCAAGCCCACCCCAAAGGCCATTCACAGCTCAGCCACCCTCCTTTCCTATCTCAGCACCAGGAGAACCCCCCAGAACCCATAAGTCTCCATCACTCGAGTTCATGTAAGCTCTGCTGAGATCTGCCTCCACTCCCTGGCCAAACCCAAAACACCCTCTTCCCTTTACATCTCCGGGTCTGGCTCGAATGCCCCCTCCTCTCGGCAGGCTTCCC